GGTTCGTAATCCCCCAAGGGTTGTTGATGGGTAAATTTAAAGCGGTGAAAGGGAAGCTTACAATGGGTTATTCCGGCGGGAAACGAACCGTAGAAAAAGTCTACGGACCGTTTCGCGAAGGGAAATGACCGTTAGAAAAAGTCTACGGAACATTTCGCGAAGGGAAATGACCTGTAGAAAAAGTTTGCGGTTCGTTTCGCGGAGGGAAATGAACGGTAGAAAAAGTCTAGCGGTCATTGCGCGAAGGGAAATGGCCTGTAGAAAAAGTTTGCGGAACGTTTCGCGAAGGGAAATGACCGTTGGAAAAAGTCTGCGGTTCGTTTCGCGAAGGGAAATGACTCGTAGAAAAAGTTTGCGGAACGTTTCGCGAAGGGAAATGACCGGTAGAAAAAGTCTAGGGTCATTGCGCGAAGGGAAATGACCTGTAGAAAAAGTTTGCGACCCGTTTCGCGAAGGGAAATGACCCGTTGAAAAAGTGTAAGGGTTGTTGCGCGAAGGACAATGACCCGTAGTAAAATGCTATCTGAGTTTTTTGGAAGAGATGGCCGGGCAGCAATATTGAGATAGTGCCAATAATATCGATCAGGCCCCGGAGATCATTACTTACCGGACAAATCATTGGAGTTTCGCCAACCGCAGCCCCCTGGGGTGGCCAAGATCCATGCAGCTGCCCCGGTTGCTCAAATAAAATTGGCAGCATTTGCGAAATGCAATATTTTAGTGAAGTTGCGTGGAAACGTTTGTAAATGCTTGTAAGCTGGTGAATTCGCGTTTGGCTATGGCGCGATAAGCGTTTATATGCGTTTAGTGGGGAGACATGCGTAAATCAGTGAGTTACCGGCAAGCTTAGAACGACCATGAAATTGATTTCAACATTTATATTGACACTAACCTTAACGACAGGTTTTGCTCAACTTGCAGACAATACTGATAGACACAACGACAGTAATATTTATCTGCAAGCTTTAAAACAATATCTTGACTTCAGGGAGACAGATTCGTTTTATTCTAAGCTTAAACATATTGACACAATCTACGTTTATAAGGACACAAAGACAACAGACAGTTTACTCAATAAAATTGGGACGACAACAATAATTCTGATTGACGACCCATACACTTTTATTAAAAACAGAAATGGAAAAGGAATGACACTTTACAGTATTTTTCCTTTGGACTTTGAGAAAGGTGAGTTCTGGGTTTCATTTGTTCCATTCAGTGTGACAATTGACAAGAAGCGAAAGCGTGGACTTATGTTTTCAAATCCAGGAAGCTATAAAGTTGTCTTCAAGTATGACGAGGGACATTTTGTGTTTGTTAGAATTGAAGACCATGGAATTTGACAAGCCAGCCGGTAACATGGGGTTTGCTGCTATGCTGGCAGACGAATAAGTCCTCATCTTTTTGTTCGCTGTAAGCAGCGGTTCGGTCAGACGTAATTCTATTGAGCTTTTGTTCTTAACTTCATCATCAATAATTCTATTGGGCTTCAGTTCCGGACTGGACATTATAAAATACCAGCACAGCAGCAAGCCCTGTTCGTTATACGCAATAAAAATTAACCAAATGAATAATACATCGATTAAAGTAAGTTCTTCTAAAGAAAATATTAATGCATTGTGTACATTAATTAAACCAAATATAGGAGACATCAATGAGTCAGTCTTTCGTGTGCTGGAATCAAAGGATGAACAACGGGGTTTAGATTCTGCTCTCTTAATTGCGGTTGTTGGCGGTATCGGAACTACTATTGGGGCTTTAATAACTGGAATTCTAAAGGTTATGGAAAATCGAGTTAGCCACAAAATAACAATAACAGGAAAGTCAGGTCGTAAAATAGAATTCCCTTCATCATTACCTAAAGAAGATATCGACAACCTCATAGAGAAGACGAAGGAACTAGACATAGATAGAATCGAATTCTAACCATGATTGAAGATGTTAAAAATATAGTCACCTTTTTTCAGTCAAATGATATTCTTCAGTCAATTGAGATACTGGAGAAGTCCTACTCGTTACTATCAGAGGAATCCCAACAAAAACTAGAAATGCTTTGTGTGATCACTCCCGAACGAGAATTCAAATTCGAGCAATATCATGACATAAGAGATTTAATACATAATAAATCAGCATTGCAGATTGCGATCGATTCGAAAGATGATCTTGGTCAAAACTTCTTTTACAAAAACATTGGGTCAATTTATAGAAAGCTAAATCTTATCGAAGAATCGATTTCGTCCACACTTAAATTATTGGAATTAAATCAAAAAAACAATAATCCTTTTCAAGAAGCAGATACACTTTCAATTTTAGGAGGTACCTACTGGGCTCTGGGTAATCTAATCAAAGCTGAATTTTATTTAAATCAAGCATATAACCTTTCTCAAAAATTCGGGAATGAATTATTAGAAATTAACATCCTTAGCAATTTAGCAAATATCTATATGGCTGAAGGTAAGCATTGGGCGACTCTAAGCGTTTATGAAAAAATTCAATCCTTCAATAAAAAAAACGATTATACAGGAATTTATGAAGCACATCCTTTTGAGGGTAAAGGTTTGGTGTA